TCCCATAAACACGCTGCCTAACAAGGACAAACAATAGAGCTTTGAGCAAGTAAAGCTGGTGCAGAGTAGAAAGATGCTTTAAATGCACTTTGTCATTAGGTGGGTATCTCATTCTCATGGTGTAAATTGTAAACAGAAAACTTACATTCAGCCAATATTTTTATGGAAACTGTTATGGACTGATGTGCAATATAAAGTGTGGAATACAATGCGTCTGCTCTTTTGATTTTGAGCTCTACCTGAAATCGCTCAAAACTAATGGCAAATTCAGTGCTAGTGTTTCCACTTTAATGTTTTTATATATGTCATACTGATGCATAAAACTACTTCTATTGAGAGAGAAAAAAATTCTCCTAGTGTTTTTTCTTCAGAACAGATTTGGAGAAATGTAGCATTACACCACTTGCTCACCAATGGATGCTCTGCTGTGAATGGGTGCCATCAGAATGAGAGTCCAAACAGCTGATAAAAACATACAGTAATCCACAAGTAATCCACACCACTCCAGTCCATCAGTTAACATTTTATGAAGTGAAAAGTTGCATGTTTGTAACTTCAAATAAGTTCTCTATTCATAATATTGCTTTTATGAATCAGCAGTCTTATCTGAATCAGGAGAGAAATATGCATAGATCAGCAACCATGGATCAAAAGAGTTCTAAACAAATATGTGAGAGGATTTTGTGAGAGGACAACAGAGGATGGTCTTTTTCACTGGATGAAGTGTTATCACGGATTATGGACTCACATTTTGGCCGAAAGTGCCAGTTTAAAATTAAAACACCTCGAATATAGATTTGTTTCTTACAAACACGCAGCTTTTAACTTCACAAGATGTGAAGGACTTGAGACATGAAGGATTGATGGACTGAAGTCATGAGTCTTGGATGGCCTGAGGCTGAGTACATTTTCAGCAAATTTTCATTTCAAAAACCTATTTGTGAGAATGTATTTTTTATCAAATAAATGCAGCCTGGGTGAGCATAAGACATATCTTTCAAAAAATCTTACCGGTCCCAAACTTTTGAACAATAGTGTATAAATAAATATGAAGAATTAAGGTCATATACTTTGACATATAGGTAAGAAAATAATATTCAAATTTAAATTTTATGGTGAGCTGTTCCTTTAAGCTTATCAGTAGGTGAATAACTGAAACGATTGCTTTGAAATCCTTTTGAAGTGCTCAGAAAGACCAATTATAAAAGGCTCAGAATTGGAACAAAAAATGAAAATGGAATTCCTCTTTCAAAGCTGTTCTTTGATTACTAAATTATAATCTCAAGATTAAAATGAGTATAAA